GAGAGAGAGAGAGAGAGAGAGAGAGAGAGAGAGAGAGAGAGAGAGAGAGAGAGAGAGAGAACAAAATCAAATGAATCTACCGCTAGAACATGGAAATATACATTGCGCACAAGCGCACAATGCACCAGACGTGCGCAGCGCAGCGCGCACTGCGCACCCAGATGTGCGGCGCGCGCCAGTGCGTGCACACCCTGGGTCCGTGCACAGCGCACTGCGCAGCGCACAGTGCCGGTGCACTGCAAGTATGGTCTTTTCCCTTTGCCAAGCTCCTCTCTCTCTCTCTCTCTTTCCACTCTCTCCACTCTCTCCTCGCTCCTCTGTCCGACGTCCCCTCACTAAACTGGAGCATGCATGGTGTACCTTGTGCTTTTTGTGCTGTTGCTTCGTTATTTTCTGTTGTTAGGAGTGCGCTGATGGATCTGTACATGTTGGCTGCGCCGGGCTTCATCATGTCCTCTTTCCATGCTCTGTTGATCAGTCGATGACTGCTTTGAGCTTTCAGCAATGGTTGTATGTTTGTGTGTCTTGATGATTGCAGCGTACAGTTCCCCTCAATAGTGTCTGCTTTCGCATACTGAGTCTGGTTCATGTCTGATGGCTTTGATTTACTGCCTCACTCCACACCAGCGTGTTGAGTGAGACCTGTTTTAACTGTTGTGCTGTCCAGGGATGGAGGGGTCTCTTCGCAGGGATGGGTCCAGCCCTTCTTGGGACTACAGCATCTTGGGGAGTCTACTTCTTTCTGTAAGTCACGTGCTCTTCCTTTCTCTCTTTTGTACTCCCTCTGGCCTTCCTCACTCCAATCCCATGTCTGATTTCTACTCCTGCTTATGAGTACCCCCATTTGTTCTTCTCTACGCTTATTGTTTTCCCCAAAAGGTGATTGATCCTTAAATAGTATCAGGATTTGAGCTATTGGCCTCTTTGGTAGGTTGTCAGGTGTGTACCATACAGCCACAGCCAGGTGTTCTTCTCTTATATTTAAGTCATGTGTTTAAGACTTTTTTAAGTCATTTGGTCTTCTTCTAAAAGGGGATAGCGGCGAACGTGTTTCACCCTTCAAGATTTGACGTCCTGACCTGTTTGATCAATAGCCAAGCGTGTACCATACAATTGCAGCCAGGTACATTTTGTTCTTCTGTTATTGGAAGTCGTGTGCTCTTCCTTTCTTCCCCTTTTTCTTTTCCTCCCTCCCTCCTTGCTTTCCTGTCTTCCACCATTCTTGCACGCCATTTTCTCCCCTGCCTCTTCCCTCCCTTCCCATATTCTTCCTCCCCTCCCGCCCCCCACCTTCCCCCAGCTAGACCAGTGGCCCCGTGCTGGAGCTGTGAATCACTCTATCCTGACTGCTGACAGGGAACGGTGTATACACAAGCGGCCTGTAGAGAAGTAATTCTTCAGTGTGTCACTTTTGTCAGGATCCCTCCCTCCTTCCCTCCTTTCCTTTCTTCCACCGTTCTTGCATGTCATTTCCTCCCCTGCCTCCTCCTTCCCTTCCCATATTCTTTCCCCGCCATCCTCCCCCAGCCGGACCAGTGACCCCACGCTGGACCTGCGAATCTGCTCGATGCAGACTTCTGACAGGGAATGGTGTATACACAAGCGGCCCGCGGAGAAGTAATTCATCAGTGTGTCACTTTTGTCAGGATTTGTGTTCAGGTTAGTAAGGATACATGGGTAGCTTTTACTGTACAGGATACATTAAAAGCTAACCAGATTCATTGAACCAGGTAGAAAGACACGGTGAAACATACCAAATTCCACATGGGTAGCTTCTACTGTACACGGTATTCCCATGTTATGAAAATCTTAACAGCAAAAAGGAAAGAAAGGTGAATTCAAAAGAAAACTCAGTGAGATTTAGTTCTGGGATGCCCAGCGGAAAGGGGAACAAAGGGGGAATTGATTTGGCCTCTCCTATCGGGCAATTCAAAAAATTCATCGGAAGTTGAATTTGGCACATTCGTTAGGACATGACAATCAGTCCCAAATCTTGAAGCATTCTTCTCGATGAGCTTTTTGGGTCAGAGAGCCTTTCGAAATGAGTTATTCACATGTGCTTTCAGAGTACGCTGGATCATGCTTCTTGTATGTGGTGGTTGGTCGTTTTTTTTTTTTTCACTGTTTTTGTAACTCTCTCTTCCCAAATGAACAGAAGAGAGCTAGCGAGGATTTGAACTCGTGAGCATATTGTTATCAGCTCTAGCTATGTACTATTGACTCATTGTTGAGGCGGTACAAGGATGCTGGTTTGTTTCATAGACATTTCTCTCTTGACATGTGTGACAGGTACACAGAAGCAAAGAGTCGATATGAGCGTAAATACGGAAAAGAGCTGGGTCCCAAATTTCACCTGCTGTCGGCGGCAGAAGCAGGGTCACTGGTAAGTTGAAATTTTGGAGGGACGCAAGTTCAGTTCTATAGAGTTCGCGAAGCTCAAAACAAAGTTGTCTTTGCCCTTTATCTATACTGGAAAGAGTCTGGTAAGGTCTCCTCTTAGTTTGGTGGTCTGTTTTTGTTGTTGTGTCTGCAATTCGACCTATGCACCCCCGTATGAGTACGGACTCGTACTCCTGTACTCGTACGCCACTCGTACGGATTCGTACTCGTGTACTCGTACACTACTCGTACGCTAGTGGTCCCGTACAAGTTCGGTATCGTAGGTTGTTGCTGTTGTGTTCTGTTTCTTAACTTCGTGTACGATTGAGTTCAGAAAACTCGATATGTGATGTCCGATTTCCCAATCAGGGTCCTCTTGTTCTGCTTGAAATACACCTGAAGGCTGCTTGATTGCGGAGTAATTTCATCAGTTGTACAATGACCAAAACAAAGGAGCAAAGGAACGCTACGGAGAAGATTGGAACGAAACAGAGAAGGTTAGCATGGCCCTGTGCAAGGATGACATGCATAAATTGAGAAATGCTCCAATTTTTTTTTGGGGGGAAAAAAAACACAAATTAAACAAACAAGGCATATCGCATTCTAATTCAGTACGTTGGCACGGCAGTGAGTTTGATGGGCACAGATCACCATATCCCAGTGTTTCTTCAAGTCACAGAAAATCGTGCATAGTATGGCCATTGTACCTCAGATGGGGTTGTTATGTCTGTCATTTATCCATTGGATATACATCTCCATTCTACCAGCACAACTCTGTGCTCACAATGGGACAACTTTGCTCTGCTTGTCCTGCTTTTGTCTCTGCTTGTTTGTTTGTTTGTGTGCGTGTGTGTGTGTGGGGAGGGGGG